ACAGACAAACGATAATGGCACGATCAGTTGGCAGTGTCATGCTCGAATCTATCGACACGGGATACTCACTTCAAGTTACGAATGTTCTTATCGTCGCCGGTCTTGGCTTTAACCTTCTTTCCACAGCTCAACTCCTGGCGCATAAAATCCGCACACAAGGAAATTGTGAGACGATGGATCAAGAGCTCTGGCACAGTACAACTAATACCTACCTTGGTCGTGCCGCCACTCAACTTGGCGTGTCGGTACTTCAGTTCGCAGCACAAGGAACTTCTGGCGATTCTGAACGCGTCCTTGCACTTGGTCCCTGGGATCACCCAGAAGAAACAGATTATCAACACGTGGACATTGACTTTCGAGCAACTACAGTACCAACAGCTTCTAGAACAGCAGCCACCGTACTTACCGCGTTGGATACCTGGGAGTTTAATACGGCCGATGAAAGCGCCACTGCGTGGCGAACGTTTTATAACACCCGTGCAGCTTTCCAAGGAACTCCAGCACCACTTTGGGGAGAGATAAGTGGTCTTGCAATTGATGAACCTGACGTCGTTGAAGAAGCAGAACAGGAAGCCGTATCTGAGCAGCTGAGTCCAACAGAAGCTGTCGCCGACACACCTGCCACGACATCAACAGAAGCAGCATCAGCAGTTGCACCTTTAACCACACCAACAACTGTTACTTTACCACTTACCCGTTTCATCGAAGGAGACACTGGCAAGTCACCAGCTCTTTCTCCTTTTCTACTTTCTTCGTTTTATACTAACTCCGATTTTTACCTGCGATCATCAGGACACAAAACCACAGAAGATATATGGCATCAACAGTTAGGGCATCCATCACAAGGGATTCTAAATCATTCAATCCGAGCAGCAGTTCTTGACAAAAACAATTTACTTTTACCTGATGGCACGGAGATGAAGCCGCAGTATCGTTCGATGGTTTGCACCACCTGTCCAGTTGCCAACCTTACGCACGATCCATTTCCAAGTCATTTTCCCGGCTCAACCCGTTATAAACTGATGCAGAAAGTTTACAGCGACATACTCAACTTGTCTGAAGCAGGACCTAAAGACAAGAAGTATGTGATCACCTTCATCGAAGCGTCTACCCGCTATGTCTGGACAGCCAACTTACCTGCGCGCCATCTCGCTCACTCCGTCTTCGTCGCGTGGCTCGCTGTCGCTGAACGAGAGTCAGGAGTGAAACTGCAAGAATTTCAGAGTGATGGTGCAGGGGAGTACACCAGCAACACCTTCACAGACTACCTTCAGACACTCGGCATCAAACGGAAGCAGTCGCTGCCACATGCACACCAACAGATGGGGGTAGCAGAAAGGATGAACAGGACTCGGCACGAGAAGATGCGTGCTCTGCTGACGCAGGCAGCCCTTCCACCGCAGTTTTGGCCGTATGCGATGGACCACGCTGTGCTGTTACACAATCTTCTTTCTTCAACGTCCCTGCCCGAGTTCTCTTCTCCACACCTGCAGTGGACACGTACAATGGGGAGCACAAAACTTTTACGAGTTTTCGGGTGTGTTGTACAGTTTCGTCCTCCAACTGTAGCCCTCGGCAAATTTTCCGAACGCGCAAAATGGGGAATACATCTCGTCATCGAAAAACAGTATCATGTGTGGAAGATTTTGGATCTCCGCTCAAACCAAATCATCCCGTCACGTGATTGTCTTTTCTACGAAAGACTCACCTTGCCCGTTTTTCGTGCCCACCAGGCAGCAGCTGCCAACCCCGCCACGCTGTTCGAAGGCTCGCGTGCGTTTGCCACTGACGAGGCTGAAGCTGATGTACAGGACGAAGCAGTTTCTGAAGCATCCGAAGCTGCCGCAACTGACCTTCCCGAACCTGTAACCTCGACTGGCATACCTGAATTCATTCCTCTCGCAGATGCTGACCCGGATGATGTTCGCGAAGTTCGACTCAGTTATGAACGTGATCGCCAACAGCAGCCGATGCCCGTCGTCTCCGACGACGCCGTTCGTGTTACACCTGACGAAATTGGGGGGGAAGAAGGACCAGAAGAAAATTTCGCAGGTGCAAACGAAGAACGTCCGCGTTTTACAGAAACAGGATTGCAGATACTGGGGTTTGCAGTAGCAGTACAGTGCAACGACAGTAAGATACCTGAACCGAAAACCGTCCGACAAGCTCTTACGAGTCCTCACCGAGAAAAATGGCGCGAAGCCATGGACAAGGAGCTAGCAGCACTCAAGAATCGTGGTACATGGGATTTAATCCCGACTTCAGAGGTCAAAGGGAAGAAGGTACTTACCGGAAAATGGGTCTTCCGCGTCAAGACTAATGCAGATGGGTCGTTTGAAAAGTTCAAAGCGCGATGGGTCATCCGCGGATTCGAGCAGACTTACGGCATCGACTATGAACTCACCTTTGCTCCTGTCGGCCGACATACAAGCGTTCGGATTCTGCTCTGTGTCGCCGCCTGCTGTAATCTACGTCTTCGCCAAATCGACGTCTCGAATGCGTTTCTCTACGCGCCTGTAGACGCACTTATCCTGGTAGAGTACCCACATTGTTATACTATTAACCCACCGAGCGTTTGCTGTCTACGGAAATCCCTGTACGGCATTAAACAGGCACCACGGCTCTGGCAGCAATATCTTCACTCGCAGCTGATCAATGCCGGTTTTCGTCAACTACCGCATGATCAAGGAATGTATCTACTGATCGACGGCAGCAACTACATTTTACTCGTTGCCTACGTCGACGACATCCTATACGTCAGTACTACTGATTCTCTTGCCGAGACCTTCATACTGAAATTACAGAAAAATCTACAGCTTATCGTCTCCGAAACAGTCTTACAGTTTCTTGGACTGAACATTACCTGTTCACCGACAACTATTCATCTCACCGCTTCGAAGTACGCAGCAACTCTCGCTGCCCGCTTCAACCTCACGCCTACTACAGTCTCTACACCGTACCGCTCACTACCGACTGACCACAAACCAAACACCGCACTGTTAACTTCAACTGGTTTACAGATCTATCAACAGCAGCTAGGCTGTCTACTCTTCGCCGCTGTCACTTGTCGTCCTGATCTAGCCTACGCGGCCAGTCAGCTCGCTCAGTTCCTACGCCGTCCTGAGGAGGAGCATCAGCTTGATCTACTTCATGCGCTTCAGTATTTTATCTCGACACCTGACGTCGGATTAGTCTACAACGTCATCGGCTGTAAAACACTCTATCTACATGGTTTTGTCGACGCCGATCACGCTGCTGATTCTACTAATCGACGGTCGCGCACTGGGTTCATCTATCGACCGGAACCTATCGGACCTATCTCTTGGAATTCTACGAAGCAGGAACTAATTGCACTCTCCTCTGCTGAAGCTGAGTTTATTGCTGTCTGCACAGCAACACACGAAGGACTTTACTTACAGGAACTATTGGAAGAAGCAAAGTTGACGACAACTACCAGTTTACCCTGCAGTGCGACAATCAAAGTGCAATTCGCATCGCACATCAACCTGGTTTCGTCAACAGGTCGAAGCATATTTTGCTTCGTTATTTTTTTCGTCAAAGATGAAGTCGAGAAGGGGAGGATGCGATTGGTCTACTGTTCGACCAACGAAATGGCTGCCGATTTTCTCACGAAGAAGCTGACACGACAGAAGTTTCAGTACTGTAACAAGCTCTGCGGAATCTTCGAGAAGTGACACTATCGACGTTCCAGAAATGAAGGGGAGTGTTGTGATATAATTGGTACTTAGCATTTCTGTAAGTCGATTAAGTGTAGTTAGTGTCGAATCTTACTGTAGAAGATAAGTCTATAGGATGACGTAAGCAAATAGCGCTCGTCATAGGACAGTCGTTTCAGTCACGCGAACAGTCGCATATCTTCATTATCGTCTAGGGCGCATAGCGCGATAGTGACGAACAGGTACATTAGCGAATAGGTACTTTTCGTAGAACTATATATCTCTGTCAGGTCTTTTCATTATTAACTTTTGATTACACACAAGTTCACGTACTCAGATTATTTAACCTTGACTATTACATTTTACAAGACTTCCGCTGTCTTACTAGTCTACCATTCCAGCAAAGATCCTGGACCAACACTTGAGGATTTGCCAAGTGTTCGTGTTTATAGTTTTATACTTAGTCTACTACAGCACCATACGATTTACTTCATTATCAATGATGATTGAGACTGCCAAAAAACAAATACATTACTTCGAAGGTATAGCAATGAATAGACGAGTCCTGGCTATGCCGATCGTCATCGCCGTGACGTTACTTACAACGTGGGCGATCTCGTCCTCCTCGTCACTCGCAATTTGCGGTTGCCGATACCGAGCAAGCTCCGACCCAGATTCTGCTGACCTTGTCAAGTGACGAAGCTGGTGACACCTATCACAGTTCATCTTCGCCGACCGGCCGATTGGCGCCACCACCCGGCCTTCCACATCAGCCTATTACGGCCTTACGTCCCCAGTTCATCCGACGTGGCACGCCAACGCGGGGTACCGCAATTGACGCCCCTGCAAGAACCGACGACTGAGCCCTTAAAGATTCAGGGCCATTGCGTCACAACGCAGCTGAACCGATGACTGGTTGATTTCCTCGTCCGCTGGCGCGATCGCACGTCCGAAGACGACAGCTGGGTGCCTCTTGCTGACCTAGAATCACATCCGATTCTAACGGCGTATTATCAGCGTCGGAATGTTTCCGGTGCCCACGGACTCGTTTAGGAGGGGGGGGGGTAGTGTAAAGAATTTCCATTCCTTACTGAGTCGCAGCCGCTACCGCGTACACCCGAACACTTAATCACGTTCAGCCTACATTTTCGACCCAACCCTTGGTTCTAGCACTTTACCGCTTTTGAACATAAAGCACCAGACTCAACCGTACTAAGTGAACCTTAAACAAACGCGAGGGACATGCCCTGATGCGCGGGACCCAGAGCTTGCCTTGAAATCTCCGCTGCTCCCACTACCGCGCAATTGTTGGATGATTATTTTTCCAAGGCTAGGGGAAGGCGAAGTCACGAGTTTCCTCATTGTCCCAGCGACGCAGTTTCGATGCCACCTCGCGGCCTCTTTCCCGCGATTATGCTTGCTGCCGGCCATCTCGCCAGTCCCCCACCACGACGACCGTCGTCGCACGACGACGACGTCTTGCCAGTCTGTTTCGTCTTGCACGACGTCGCAGCGAGGCGCGTCCCTCTAGCTCCGAGCTCGAGTCGATACCATCCTCAGCCTTCACCGCTGGAGCTTCTCTGGAGTATAAAAGGAGGCATGCGATAGCCATGATTTATCGCTCACAGCATTCGAGGCCACTGCCATCTCAATTCCACCTTCAGAGCAATCTGAGTTTTCGCAATCTGAGCATCTTTCAGTGGCTTCGGTTCAGCGCGATTCTGATCCGCCCTGATTTCAAAGGCATTCCCGGATAGCGAGCTCACCTGCCGTTTTCCGGCTCCGAATTTCTCCATTCTCTGCTGCCTCTCTAACATCATGGCGGCCGTCAGCCTGTTGAGGCGTCTCTGCGCTGCATTGGGTGAGTGCTCCGACCTTTCCGAACAACCTTTCTGATACGCCGCTATAGCGGGCGACGGTTCCGACCTTCCGGAGGAAGCACCGTCTCATTTTGATCCGCCGCATTTGATGAGTTGGCGCGAGTTCGCGCGTGATCTCTCCTCTCTCTGCGAATAGCCAGTGGTGTTTGCTGCAATGCTGGGTTCCCGTGACATGCGCTGCAGTTCTCAGCACAACTTACCCTTTGCACGCGAAATGCGTGTCTGGGTTACTTTACTGCACACATGGTTGTCTTTTCCTTTCTTTAATGGGCCACTCGTTGGCTCGTCTCACTCCCCCTCCTCCTGTTCTCTGTCCCTCCCTAACGAACCCCTTTCGCCAGCATTCGCAATGATCGCTGCTTCCTTCACTCTGCCAGCACTTGCTGACGTCACATCCACTGGAGTCACATCCGCTGCTGTCACGTCCGCTGCTAGCCGTGTGGCAAAGCGCGCCAATGAGGCTCGCAGGCTGCTGCCTGGCGCCAAGGCACGGCAGTTGGGAGAGACAACTTCAGTTGCTGCTGGTAACTGGGCCGGGTCTGACACCACCAGTCCTAGTGGCTGCACCAGCAGCAGTGGTGACACCAGCAGCAGTGGTGACACCAGCAGCAGTGGTGACACCAGCAGCAGCGGCGACACCAGCAGCAGTGGCGATGGCGGCAGCAACGGTAGCAGCGGTGTGGACGTGGCAGCGATTCTGGAGGAGCACAACAAGGCGCGGCAGGAAGTGGGCGTGCCGGACCTCGCATGGGACGAGGGAGTGGCACTCGCAGCGCAGCAGTGGGCAGCTGAGCTCGCTTCCAGTGGATGCAACCTGGAGCACGGAGGGGCTGACGGACTCGGGCAGAACCTGTACTGGAAGGCACCTGTGCAGCTGAACAGTGCCGAGGACCGGGCGGCAGTGCAGTCGTGGGTGGCAGAGAAGGAGGACTGGACGTACAGTGCCGTGCCGGAGGGGTGTGCGGACGGCAAGCAGTGCGGGCACTACACACAGGTGGTGTGGCGGGATACCACGCATGTTGGGTGCGCTGCTGCCCAGTGCGCGGATGGGGGGGGCATTTGGGTGTGTGACTACTGGCCGCAGGGGAACATGATTGGGTCCACTCCCTACTAGGCATTTCCTGCGAGGAGGGCTGCTCTGACTAGCCCTGCAAGACGCGCATGCAAGGGGGTGATGCGTGGCAATAAATAATCAAGGGGCGTGGAGTGGAAGTGAGACTGTCCCTGCTGTCTTTGTTACGTTTCTGTGTTTGATGAGTTTAGCAGAGGTGTTTTCTGTTGGTAACTTCACGAGCTAGCGTTATGTTTCTCCGATGGAACAATGCATCGCTGACTAAGTTGCATTATCAATGCACCAGGACAAGTGGAGTGTAGCTGGCAGAGATGAAAAAAAGCACAGAACGGAAGCTAACAATGTCATCAAGCAAAACGACCACTGATCGTCTGCACATGCTGGGGGTGCTGGTTCATAACGACGGCTTCATGGGGTTACCACTTTAATCCCGGTCAACAGGTATCCTCCAGTAGCTGACATGCTCATGTGCGGGTGGGTCCTCTGGGGGAGCACCTGGGGGGGAGAGGAGAGGGGAAAAAAACGCAATTAAATCCCCACTGCCTTGCTCCTAGCGGTGACTTTTGAGTCGACTCAAAAGTCATCCCCACTGCCTTGCTCCGCGCGCCCTTCACACGCCACCACCGCATTGCTGCTCACCGCATGCTCTCCCCAAAAGATACGGTACATGCCAGCCCACCTCTCCCACCCGGTACTCCCTCAGCCGCGGCGTACCCAGCTCCAGGACCACTGCACTGCCTTCTCCTCCCCCCCCCTTTTGCCCCCCACGCGCGCAGCTCATGCTGTTTCCACCCACCAACTGCCCTCTCAGCCCACCTGGTACTCCCTCAGCCACGGCTCACTCAGCTCCAGGGCCACAGCGTTGCTCCTTGCTGCTCGCATTGCCTCCGCTAGTGGCTGCACACGAAGGTGTAGGCGGGAGGGGAGGGAGGATCAGGGGTGAGAGAGAGAGAGAGGGGAAAGCTTTTGAACATTGCTGTCCGCATTGCCTCCGCTAGTGGCTGGGGGAGGTGGTGATGGCGGGAAGGGAGGGAGGATCACGGGTGAGAGCGAGGGGAGAAGGGTTGTGAGGAGCATAGCTGCTCGCACTGCCTCTGATAGTGGCTGTGGCAAGGAATTCCGATTCGGACCAGCAACTCATGCGTTACCTGCAGCGTCGTATGATGGAGCACGAAGGGCGCTGACGGCTGCAGCAGGGGCAGCAGCTGCTGCAGCACTGCGGAGGGGCTGAACGTCGGTGCTGCCACTATGAGGCTGAGGGGAGAAGAGCACAAGGGGCATGGGGTGGGGAGGGGTATGGGGGGATTGAGGGGGTTGAGCACAGGCAACAGCGGTGTTCAGCAATTGGAGCAATCCAAGTGGTGGGTCGTCGAGCCTACATATGGAAGAGTGTGAATTGGATGATGCTCAACTCAACGTCTTCCGCTTCTCTCTTTGGAACAACCGCTGTTGCAGCACAGAGGCAAAGAGGCGGTGCTTCCACCATGAGGCTGAGCGGAGGGCACGGGGAGGGAGGGGCATGGGAAGTGGGCGGAAGGTGTTAAGCGAGGGGTTGAGAAGCGGGTATCGGAGTGAGAGGGGTGTGAGGAAGTGCAGCATAGAGCGGTGCGGGGGGGTAGACATCATTAAAATGCGATGCGATATAATATCGCATCGCATTTCTCCATATCGCATTTTATATCACGCGATACAATATCGCATCCCTGCGATATTTTTTTTCCAGAAAAATGATACCGCACATCGCTTTTTAAGTGCGATTTTAGATTATATCGCCAAAATATTGCGATATATTGTGACTTACTATCGCATCGCATTCAAAAGCATGGTTTAAAAGCGGTTTCCAGGCCTGAGATAAGGGCATGCGATAGTGAAATATCGCATGAATATCGCGTAAACATTGCCCACATGCGATAAAAAATACCGCGCAATATAAATCGCATCGCATCGCGCAATATTTATTCAGGAAAAACAAATATCGCTATCGCATTCTTGCGATATATGCGATACGATGTGATTGCGAAATAACCATGTCCACGGGGGGGAAGGGGGGGTGGGGGGGGAGAGGACGAGTCAGTTCTGCTCCCTGTCGTCACTTGAAGCTCCTCCCCCCAACGCTCCCTGTGCCCCCCGATCCTCCCGGGGAAGACTGCTCTTCCTCTCACCCTCCCTCACACCGGCCTGTCAAAATCTCACCTGCTGAACCCTCCATGCTCCTGCAACCACCGCCGCATGTCGTCACTCGAAGCCACTCGCCCCAACGCTCCCTGCGCCCCCCGCTCCTCCCGAGGTAAGCTGCTCTTCTTCACGCCTTCCCTCACACCCTTCTGCCCTTCATCCCCTCTCTTCTCCCCCATACTATCTCTCTCACCGTCTGCACCCTCCTTCACTCTCTCTGCACCCCCCTCCTCCACTTCCATTTTGTCTGCTCCTCGTGACACCACACCCACCCCATTTGGTCCATCCACCCCATCTGCTGCTTTCCCCTCTCCTTCACCGCCTGCTGCGCCCTCTGCTACAGCCAGAGCAGCAGTCTCGTCCACTTCCCCTTTTGGCCTCTTGCAAGGCCGGCCTTCAGCCTCCCCCCCTTCAGCCCCCACTGGTGCTACCCCGTCTGCTGCTGCTGCTGGTGCTGCTGCATCGTTCGATGTTGTTGCAATGGTAACTGCCTCTTCTGCATTTTCCACACCCGCTGCTGCTGTTGCATCATTGGGCGTTGTTGCAGCATTAATTGTCGCTGTGGTTTGTGCACCGGTACATGCTTGCTGCTGGGACCAGCTGTGTTGTGCGTCCAGCAACTGCTGCACCGATGCTCGGTGGATTCTGACAAGAAAGCAAGCGGGCACGTGTGGGGTGGGATGGGATGGGATGGGATGGGATGGGGTGGGATGGGGTGGGATGGGATGGGATGGGATGGGATGGGATGCGGTGGGATGGGATGGGATGGGATGGGATGGGATGGGGTGGGATGGGATGGGATGGGATGGGGTGGGATGGGATGGGGTGGGATGGGATGGGATGGGATGGGATGGGATGGGATGGGATGGTGCTGCTTGCTGCTGTTGTGTTGTGCATCCAGCAGCTGCTACACTGATGCTCGGTGGATTCTGACAGAAACAAGCATCGCATGGAATGGAATGGCATGGAATGGAATGGCATGGAATGGAATGGCATGGAATGGAATGGAATGGCATGGAATGGAATGGCATGGAATGGAATGGAATGGAATGGCATGGAATGGAATGGCATGGAATGGAATGGCATGGAATGGAATGGCATGGAATGGAATGGAATGGAATGGTATTGTAAGGAATGGCACGGCACGCGGTATGTTTATCCATGGCGAGTTTATGACAAAAGCTAGCAAGCTTGCATTTCTTGGGGTTGGCACTTGGGTTTAGCACAAATGGACGTTGATCACCACTCAGGCAGCTAGGACATCACCACTTGGCATTAAGCGGCAAGATTTATTGACAAATCAAGTCGTGTTCTGACCCCCGCCCCCGCAATGTACACTTGCCAGCCACTCAGATGGCAGTAGCTGGGATGGAGAGGTTTGAGATGCATGAAATGTGCTGGAGGGATGTGAGGCCTTTGCTGCAGATGGCGCCATGCCACGGCATGTTACATGGCACGTCACATGGCACGTTACATGGCACATGACTGATACATGCAAACTCACATGGCAGCAGCTGAGATGGAGAGGTTGATGGATGGAGCATGTGATATGTGCGAGGGATGCGGGGCATGTGGGGATGCTGTAGATGGTGCCATGCCATGCCATGGCACACTACATGGCAGCCGCAGCTCACACAACACCTAATCACATGGCGGCGGCTGGGATGGAGAGGTCGAGATGGCGGATGATGTTGACGGAGGGCATGTTACATGACACGTTACATGGCACCTCACACAACACTGACTCACATGGCAGCAGCTGGGATGGAGAGGTTGAGATGGCGAATGATGTTGATGGACGGTGCATGGGATGTGTGCGGGGAGAGTGCGGCGTGTGAGGCAGGGAATTGGCACGTTACATGGCACGTTACATGGCACGTTACATGGCATGTTACATGGCACGTTACATGGCACGTTACATGGCACGTTACATGGCATGTTACATGGCACGTTACATGGCATGTTACATGGCATGTTACATGGCACGTTACATGGCACGTTACATGGCACGTTACATGACATGTTACACGGCACGTTACATGGGACGTTGCATGGCAAACTCACACCACAATAACTCACATGGCGGCAGCTGGGATGGAGAGGTTGAGATGGCGAATGATGTCGATGGATGGTGCGTGGGATATGTGAGAGCCATAGAAGGCACTGCAGATGGTGCCATGGCCTGCACACGGGATGCATATATGGGATGAAAAGAGGCAGGGGATGCATGTACGTTGGGCATAGCGGCATGGGACACATGAGAACCATAGAAGCCACTGCAGATGGTGCCATGGCATGCATTCAGGATGCACATATGGGATGAATAAGATACATGGGGTACTACAAAAGAGGTGTAGGAGGCAGTGCAGATGATGCCATACCATGCCATGGTCCGCGCATGGGATACATGATACATACATGGGATACATGATACATACATGGGAGACATGATACATACATGGGATACATGATACATACATGGGATACATGATACATACATGGGATACATGATACATACATGGGATACATGATACATACATGGGATACATGATACATACATGGGATGCATGATACATACATGGGATGCATGATACATACATGGGATACATGATACATACATGGGATACATGATACATACATGGGATACATGATACATACATGGGATACATGATACATACATGGGATACATGATACATACATGGGATACATGATACATACATGGGATACATGATACATACATGGGTGGGATACATGATACAAACATGGGATACATGATACATACATGGGATACATGATACATACATGGGATACATGATACATACATGGGAGACATGATACATACATGGGATACATGATACATACATGGGATACATGATACATACATGGGATACATGATACATACATGGGATACATGATACATACATGGGATACATGATACATACATGGGATGCATGATACATACATGGGATGCATGATACATACATGGGATACATGATACATACATGGGATACATGATACATACATGGGATACATGATACATACATGGGATACATGATACATACATGGGATACATGATACATACATGGGATACATGATACATACATGGGATACATGATACATACATGGGTGGGATACATGATACAAACATGGGATACATGATACATACATGGGATACATGATACATACATGGGATGTACAAGATGCATGAAACACACATGGGGGACACATGTGTTGAATGCACTGCAGTGCAGATTATGCCATCCACTAGCACCAAGTCATGGCCATAGACCCCCCTTCAACTGCCAATCCCATCCCTCCCCACGTGCCCCTCGTGCCATCCTCACCTCCCATCTGCTGTGCAGCAGCAGCAGTGATCAGCCCCCCCGTGCCATCCAGCACTAGCAGGTGAGAGTGCGCGCCAACATTGCCCATGGTGAGTAGCATTGCCAGGCTGTCAGGACGCAGGAAACTGAAGAGTGGGGGGGGGGCGGGGGAGGGGAAGGGTGGGAGAAGGGGTTAAGGCAGATAGGTGGTCTGAAGAAGCAAATTCGAGTGTGCGACAACAGTGCCCATGGCTAGCAGCATGGCCGGATTGTCTGGTCGCAGGAAACTGAGGGTAGGGAGAAATGGGGTGGATGGGGAAAGTTGTTTGTAGGGAGGAGTGAGGCAGAAAGGGAGCTGGAAACTGGAAGCAAAAAGAGGGACTTTTGAGTCGACTCAAAAGCAAACTGGAAGCAAGAAGAGGGACGACAAAATGGATTGGGACGAACAGAGGCAAGGCAAGGCAAGTGAGGGCATGCTGGATCTCTGGAGAGAACACACGGCTAGGAGTTCCACACCACGCCAATTAATCTGTACATACTGATTCTTGAGGCGCCCCAAAAATCGTTTCTGGGGGTAACGCATGAATTGTAGTTCCTTACCCTAGAACCCAGCTGTACCATGGTAGCAGCTGTGCCATGGTCGTAGCTGTACCATGGTAGCAGCTGTACCATGGTCGCAGCTGTACTATGGTCGCAGCTGTACCATGGTCGCACCGCAAATGGATAAATCTGCCTATTCGCTCACCCGATCCTTGCAGGCACCTTAGCAAAGTAGGCCTGCTACAGTGCATCACCTATCCATACCGCTTTAGACCACACACCACGTCTATCTGCTCTGCTCACCCGATCCTTGCAGGCGCCTTGGCAAAGTAGGCCTGCTACAGTGCATCACCTATCCATACCACTTTAGACCACACCACGTCTATCTGCTCTGCTCACCTGATCCTTGCAGGCGCCTTGGCAAAGTAGGCCTCGCACACACTGGCATGGGAGGGCGGGAGGAGAGAGAGGAGCAAACAGGTTTGCTAGGTTGATTCAAAGAGCAAAAAACGAGTTCTCACGGGCCCACAGAACTGGAGGAGAGAACGGAGAAGGGGAGATTGCTGAGCTGACCAAAGGGGCACAGAAGCACGAATAGGGTGGTTGAGAGGTGCAACGCACGGGGAGTGAGAAACAGGAAACCTTTTGGCATTTGGGCATGGGCCGCACAGGCGCAAGCGAAGAGAGCGGGTGAGAAACAAGGATGGTGGAAGGAAGGGGGGAGGGAGGGGGAGGGGGGGGGAGAGGGGGAAGGAGAGGGGGTGGGGGAGGGGAAGACCTGTCGGCTGTTGGGAAGCGGGCGACCATTCGAGGAGCGTGCTTCTTCTGCTTCTTGCGAAGGTACTTCTCCTGGACAGGTGGGTTGGGTTGGTTTGGGGGTTAAAATGAAGGATGAGGAGGAACCCATGGTGGAGCCCATCGTTCGCTTTGCTTGGAGAATGCCAACTAGAGGAGGGTGAAAAGGGGACCAGCACACACGCATACAGCATGCGTGCTATGGCTAACCACCCCCTCATCTCAAATAGCCTGCACAGCTCTACCTGTGTGTCTGCTATAGCAGAGCCCCTGTGGTTCTGTGCAAGCAAACCATGTCCAGTGAGCGACCAGTCAAACCATGTGGCACCGCACCTGGGCAAAGTCCGTCTTGGAGTGGAACGACACGCTGTTGGCTGCCAGGGCTCGCACCACGTCGTGCCCCGACGCCGCTTGCCTGGAGTGGAAGAGAGGGTGGGGCGACGAAGAGAGTGGAAGATGGGCGGGGGCGGGGGGGTTGTAGAGGGCAGGGGGGGCGGGGGGGGAGGGGGGGGCTGACGACGGCTGATTGACACGTTGTTTACTGCCAGGGCTCGCACGCGCACCACCTCGTGGCCCGACGCTCTTTGCCCGTCAAGACACGTACACAGAAGGAAAGGAGTGAATAGTGAATACAGAGGGGAGGAGTGAACACAGAGGGGAGGAGTGGGAAGAGAGCAAGGCGCAAAAAAACTGTGTCTCTTTTTCTCAAATTTTTGTCGTTTTAAACGATATCGTAAGATTCGGTCGTTAAAAACGATAAAAAGCGGTCAATGTGCCCTTTTCTTATGTGGTGCAAAAAAACGATGGTTTAATACGATCGTTTTTTTTGTACCCAACAGTTGTCGACGTATACCGCGTATGTCGGTTTGGCTGACTCGATTTTGGTGTCGTTCCAAAGTCAGATTCGCGCTGACACAATTTTCCGACGAAACGCGACTCGGCGCCAATGTCGAGCTGCGGATTGGATCCAATTTGCGGAGCCGTTGCGAACTGTACGGTGTACCCCACTGTCGCTAGTGACCTGGTGTACAGTTTCACGCCTGAAAAATGAGTTCGCGATGTAGGCGACACATCGCGAACCTGTCGTGCCACGAATTTCCCAATCCCCCCAGAGGCGTGCACCCTTTCCAATGACTTCATTCATCAAACGGAATTCACGATTTTTGGCCGAGCTGAGCACAGACAAATGTGGAGTACATCCCAAATTCCAGAGACTAGGAATCTTAGCTAGCTCAGTCAGTGCTAGCAGCAGTATGCCTCAGGGATAGTGCCATGGGGTTTTTTAACTGAATAATAAAAAATTTGTGACTGGAGTTTTCGAACAAAAACAACGACGCTTTTTGTCAAAAAAATGCCGTATAAAACGACCGTATTAAACGGCCCGTTTAAAACGACCATCGTTTTTTTGTGCCTTGGAAGAGAGGGTGGTGTAAGTAAGGGAGCAATGTGACTTTGGGCTATGAGGGTGAAACAGTGAAACTGTTAAGACCTGTGCTAACAGCAAAGACCCTGGCCTGCATATTTTTAAGTACTTAACATTCATTCACCTCTTGAGTGTGTCAATCTCATTGGCTGACAGCTTCTGTGCTGCGCTGTCATCAGTCACACTACAACCGTCCTTCACTGTTCTCGGGTTTCGGGTTTCGATCATCCTTGACAACTCTGCACTGCACTACCTACTGCTGATTAACTCGGCTGATTAATTCTTTTTTAGAAGTCTAAAACACCTTACAACTCTACACTTACTACTGCTACGTCCGTCCAGCATACATACCTCTTGAATGCTTCGATCTCAGTGGCCGAGAGCTTCTGCGCCGTGTTGTCATCAGGTACCGATTATTACCCTTTACCACTCTGCACTCACTACTGCGACGTCCAGCGTACATACCTCTTCAATGCTTCGATCTCAGAAGCTGACAGCTTCTGCGCCGTGTTGTCATCAATCAGATTGCGATTGTCCCTCACCCCCTCTGCAGTTTTAACACCCTCTTCACTTGTCACATCCTCTGTACTCGCCTCTACAGCCTCACTTTCTGCAGCAGCAATAGCAGTATCACCAGCAGCAGCAGCAGCAGCAGCTGCAGCAGTATCAGCAGCAGCAGCTGTATCAGTAGCAACGGCAGCAGCGTCAACTTCCCCAATGGCGGCAAGAGCATCTGGTGGTATTAGCGGTAGAGAGAGACACACACACGGCGCGAGAGAGAGAGACAATGTGATACAAAGGTGGGCGCTTTGCTTGCTTTGGTAGACACGAGTAGCAACAGAAGGATTAGTACCTGCATCGTCAACTTCCCCAATGGCGGCAAGAGGCATACCAGAGAGGAGTGGAGTGGTAGAGTAGTCATACCAGTGTGGTGCAATGCTTTGTCTCTGAGGCCCTCCAAAAAGGGTGGTGAGCGAGAGGTGATGCGACATGCAAGCGGCGTGGTGGATGAGACCGCTCACTCACCTTCCCTCAGCTGCTCCTTTGATACGCGCACCAGCTGTGGCCTCCTCCCTCCTCTCCCACCCCCTCTCCCCCTGCCACCTCTTCCTCCCCTCCTATCCCATTTCCCCCTTCCGCCCTCCCTTTCACCCCCCTTATCTTCCCCCTCTCCTCCCACGTTCTTCTTGTCACTCCCCTCTCCCCCCGCTCCCCCTCCCCCCTCTTCTCCCCCCATGCGCAGTTCAAAGACAGAGCCGAAGGGGTAGCCAATGAGGGGCGCGAGGGAGCAGTGCTGCTTGCCCACACGCACAGTGCTGGCGAAAAGAAGCGAAGGGAGGGAGGGAGGACGTGAGGAGGGGGAACAGGGATTAGAAAACGCAGAGGAGAAGTGCTGCTTGCATACTCGCATGGTGCTGGGAGGGGGGTAAGACAGCAAGGGAAACGAAACCATTGGCCGGATTAAGAAAGAAAGGGAGCAGAGCTACTTGTCTGCGCACACGGAGCTGGGTTGAGTGAGACGGCGGGGTGGGGAGTGGAGGAAGTGGGACAGATGCCAGGGGCACACCGGAGGAGAAAGGGGAGCAGAAGACGGAGACAGAGGGCAGTCAATGAGGGGGAGCAGTGCTGCTTGTCTGTGCGCACAGTGAAGTAATGTGTTTGGAAGGAGGGAAGGAGGGGGGAGGGGGGGGAGGGGGGCGGAAAAAGGGGAGAGAGGACAGGAGGAGGAGCAACAGGGCCCGCAAAAGAGGGGGAGAAAGACGGTAGCGTATGGCGAAAAACTTTTCAGTGGACTCACTTAGAGGGGAGAGGCGGCAGTGTTACTCAAATAGGCGCAGGCAGGAGAAGGAAAAGGGCATAGCGATGCCCACCCAATGCTGATCGAACACCACTTGGGTGCCATGGCTTTACGTGGCAGCGACTTCATGCTTAGAGTAGCAAACAACTTGCTTCTCACCCTTTGCTGTGCAGCATGGCTACAGACGCCTTCTCCCAATTCGCGTCCAGCGGCACCGCCATACCTTCCTCCCCTTGCAGCATTCCCAACCCCACATGCCATCCCTCCCTCGTCCCCATGTGGTTACCAGCTGCCTATAGGGTTGCCCGTTTCTCACCCGTTGCTCTGCAGCATGGCGAAGGACGCCTTCTCGCCATTCACGTCCAGCAGCACCGCCATCCCTTCCCGCATCACCCCGTGCACTGTCGCCCCCTCCATGCCCCCGTCCCTCCCCTCCGCGTCCGCTGTTCCCCCCTCCATGCCCCCCCCCTCCCGCCTTCGGCCGCTGTTCCCCCCTCCATGACCCCGTCCCTCCCCCCCGCGTGCGCTGTTCCCTCCTCCATGCTTGCTCCGCTTCTGCTGGTTTCACATGGGGGCAGGCGGCGGGAGGGGTCGAAAGTGGGCGGGGAGAGGGGGGAGGGGAGAAGGGGGAGGGGAGAAGGGGGAGGGGAGAGGGGGGAGGGGAGAAGGGGGAGGGGAGAAGGGGGGTTGGAGAAGGGGGAGGGTAGAAGGGGGAGGGGAGAACCGGGGGGGTGGGGGAGGGGAGAGAGGGGGGAGGGGAGAAGGGGGAGGGGAGAAGGGGGAGGGGAGAAGGGGGAGGAAAGAGGGGGGAGGGGAGAAGGGGGGGGGAGAAGGGGGAGGGGAGAGGGGGAGGAGAGAGGGGGGAGTAGAGAGGGGGGAGGGGAGAGGGGGGAGGGGAGAAGGGGATAGGGAGAAGGGGAAGGGGAGAAGGGGGAGGGGAGAAGGGGGAGGGGAGAGGGGAGAGGGGAGAGGGGAGAGGGGAGAGGGGAGAGGGGAGAAGGGGGAGGGGAGAGGGGGGAGGGGAGAAGGGGGGTTGGAGAAGGGGGAGGGTAGAAGGGGGAGGGGAGAACCGGGGGGGGGTGGGGGGAGGGGAGAGAGGGGGGAGGGAAGAAGGGGGAGGGGAGAAGGGGGAGGGAAGAGGGGGGAGGGGAGAAGGGGGAGGGGAGAAGGGGGAGGGGAGAGGGGGGAGGAGAGAGGGGGGAGTAGAGAGGGGGGAGGGGAGAGGGGGGAGGGGAGAAGGGGATAGGGAGAAGGGGAAGGGGAGAAGGGGGAGGGGAGAGGGGAGAGGGGAGAGGGGAGAGGGGAGAGGGGAGAGGGGAGAGGGGAGAGGGTGGAACAGAGGGCAAGAGGAGACGAAGGCAGGGATGGTCAGAGGACGAGTACGGCAGGGGTTAGGGAGAGAGGGAGGGAGAGAGAGAGCGAGAGAGAGAGCACTCGGCGTTGGTTCGGTTCCGCGCTTACCCCCTGTCAACCCCAGCCAAGAAGCTTACCTCTCACTTCCGACAGCGGTGGTCGGTGCTGCTGCAACGCATACAGGCATGCACCCTCATCTCCCGGTCCGGGATGGCGGTAGAGGCGGCCTACCCCCAACCTTTGGCCGACCCTTGGGCGCCCTACCTAGGAGATGTCTACGCGACCCTAGATGAGGAGGTGGCGGTCTAGCCGCAGGGGGAGGGGGGGGAATGAAGGGGGGGGCTCGGCCGGCGGCAGCTGTAGGCCATCGGGCTCTTAGGGGCATGAGGGCAATCTTCGCGTGCGTGGCTTATATGCTTGCTGTCTGTTTGGAGTTCGTCGCTGTACCCTTGCTTACTCGTCACGGTTGCTTGTACCCAGGTTGATTCAATGTCCAGGACCGCTTGAGAGAGAGAGAGAGAGAGAGAGAGAGAGAGAGAGAGAGAGAGAGAGAGAGAGAGAGAGAGAGAGAGAGAGAGAGAGAGAGAGAGAGAGAGAGAGAGAGAGAGAGAGAGAGAGAGAGAGAGAGAGAGAGGGAGGGAGAGGAGAGCCAGGCACGCGCATTCTCACCTCCAAACCTCCGGAGGCAGGGGTTGGGGGGATAAGAGCGATAGGGCGGAGGGGTTCTGGGTTGGGCGATAAGCTCAGGGGTGAGGGGCTGACGCGAGCAAGGACCACAATCGTGTGGTAGGGTGGGGGTTGGGGGGGTTGGGGGGTTGGGGGGAGAGAGAGAATAGTGGGGGGGCGAATAGTGGGGGGGTAGATTAGGTCGGGGGTTGGAAGCGTGGGGGGTGGGAAGCGTAAGGGGGTAACGCCGCGGCACGTCTAGTAAGTGCTCGCACCTGGCACCAGGGAGAAGAGGGTGGAGTCTTGCTGCCGCGAGGGCGGCACCCGGGCCTAATATGCAAGTACAATGCCGAGATGAAGCGCCGTCTAGTCTGGAGGCGCCTCAAAACTATAGGGACGTACAATGCCGCGCGAAATGAAGCCAAATCAGCGCAACTCTCGGAAATTTCGTCGAGCACAATTGGGATATCTCGTCAATCCACGTCAGCTCTACGCTGCGATGATCCGTTCCTAGCAGCTGACAAGTTTTAGGCGGCGATCTGCTCTTGAGTCGACCTAAAAGGCGGAATGAAGCCCAGTGAGGCTTGGTCAGGGTGGCAAGAAAACTTCAGCTGCCGCTCAATTTCAGGGTGTGAAATTATCCCAGGCCGAACCTTTGAGTTTGAGGTCTTCGGGTGTACGCACTGTAATTTAGCGCAGTAAGGAACTGTAATTCCTTACAGCGGGTGTACCTGACGGGTGCTGTAACGGGTGGATTTGACCCCGAACTCACCTTTGACCTGGTAGCCGTCAAAACGGGTTTTGGCGGGAAAGCGGACGCTGATGTGTCGAATTTTACCCCGACAAAAACACGTACCTGCACGACGATTGCAAGATATCTTGTTGGGGCATTTTGATGGAAAATATAATGCACTTTATTACAAATGAAACATTTCATTCAAAACACAAGGCACTTAAAGGCGGCTAATAGAAGGAACGATTTGTGGCAGCAACACATCTACGAATTCTAATACTCATTAAACAAAGCAAACACGCTTCCCACAACAAGGTGCGACAGCAGGGAATTTCTCAGATGTCCCATCCCCGCGCGTCCACTCCCTTATATCGACGTGCATCACCTGCATGTAACTACTGCAGTCCTAGACAGAGCACTTCTCCATCCTCCCTTCATTGTATAAAATGTATAATGGGGAGTCGACCCAACACTTTTCCCCTTCGGCTTGTAGTAGCACACCCACATGCCCCCCCTCCTCATTTGCGCACTGGGACCCCGATCTGCGTGGTCTTCCGTCAGACAACATGAGTGTAGTGCCCCCACTGCTTGGAGCGTAAGTAGCGGTTTCGTCTTATGCCTATTTCCCGCCACCTTCAGCACCCCCACAGTCGTGTTGCCTCTACCACCTCCGCTACCACTACCCACCTCCACCCTTGCCCTTCCCACCTCCACCCTTGCCCTTGTCACTGCCGCCCTTGCCTACGCCCCCGCCGCCCTTGCCCACATCCCCACCCACCTTGCCAAGGTCACCGCCGCCCTTGCCAATGTCACCCCCGTCCTTGCCCATGTCATCGCCACCCTTGCCAATGTCACCCCCGTCCTTGCCCATATCACTACCACCCTTGCCGCCACCCTTTCCGCCACCCTTGGCGTTGTCACCGCCACCCTTCCCCTTGCCGCCGCCACCCTGACCCTTGACCTCGCCACCCTAGCCCTTTCCACCGCCACCCTTGCCCTTTCCACCGCCACCCTTGAGCTTTCCACCGCCACCCTTGAGCTTTCCACCGCCACCCTTGCCCTTTCCACCACCACCTTTGCCCTTTCCGCCTCCACTCTTGTTGTCACCGTCGCTGCTGCCGTCCAAAACACCATAATCATCACCACCGCCGGTGCCATCACTATTGTAATCACCACCACTGGTGCCATCGCCGCTGTAATCACCACCACCGGTGCCATCGCCGATGTAATTACCACCACCGATGTCAACGCCGCGGTGGCTATGGGTCCTACTACAGAAAGTAAATACTTGGTCCATAATCCTTGTATGTTGAACTTGTTTTCGTAAAACATTAGTTTTTGTTGGAAATATCTCGAGGACTTCAGCGTTTCTGAAGTGTAACACTACACTCGAGGAATGTCGTAACGGGTACGCGAGTCAACGGAGGTTACACGAGGAGATGGACGAAAGAACACGAAAGGACGGAAAGGACTCGAAGGGTCGCAACCGGAGGTTGCGACTGACCGTTACAACTGCAAGAGTGGTAACCGAAGCGACAATCGAGTCGCTGTGCGACTCGATAACCGTTACTTCAACTGTATTCTACAACTGCTTTACTTTTCCTATTTTCTATATATTGCTGTATTCTTGTTTCTTTTAATCAATCACTTGCTCTCATATACTAGTGCAAGGGTTCAACTACTCAACACTTCCGCTGCACTACTTAAACACCGTGTTCAAGTGGGACTTAGTCTCTGGAAAGATCCTAAGGGCTTTTCTCAACCCAACAGTTTTGCATGTTGTTATTGGCCGAAGAATTTCCGCCACTGTTGCGTGCCTGATACTCTGCTCGTGCGGCTTTCATTTTGTTGCAGTCGAAGATTCGATGGCCTGGCACCCCGCAAAAATCACACGTGTAGTTGGTGTTTTTTTGGACGTGACCGCCCGTCGAACCTGTCGATTTCCATCGGGTCGGCGAACGTGGGGTGAGCCGAGCGGTTGCCCTGTTGCGTACTGCCGACGTGCGCCCGTTGTGTTCCGGCGTTGACCATGTCAAACCGCTCTGCTGCGATACAAGGTCACTGTAGCTCGTGTAATTTGTCACTGCTACCTGTCGTTTGACTTTGTTCTTCAGCCCGGCGAGATACGACTGTACTTTTTCCCCTTCGATTAGGTCGGGAATGCGGTTATAAAATTCCTCCATCTGTTGCATGTACTGTGCTACACTCCCAAACTGTCGTTGGTGATGATTTTTTTCCCAAAACAAGGAAACCCAAATTTATCAGCTCGAAGCACAGTGGAAGGATGCACAGTCGACCGTGCTATGTTACCCTAAGTTTCGCGGTAGATACGCTAGTTTTCGCCACTCTGCTCGTAATTTTACCCTACAACGGTACGACGAAGACGATCCATGATAAGACGGGACCAATCGACTTATGGCATCTTTGGCCACACCTCAGCTTGGCTAGTCTTAGAGATAACATTCAATCACAATTCGTGCAAAATAATATTGCATACGCTCAAATCCTTCGCAATTTTCCTTGTGCTCACCCCCTTATGCAGAAGCGTGGGTCCAGGAAGAGTGCGAGAAGATCGCTGTAAAGGTTTGCACTAACCTCGTAGATAACATGCCTAGGAGGGTGCAGGTGGTGATCAAGGCCAAGTGTCGGTTGACTAGGTACTAGAAACGCTGCTCAGAAGATTGCTATTTGTCCTTGGAAATAATTGTCCGGATGTACTCTGTGCATATCTTTTGTCACTAAGTTAGATCCAGTGTACTATAATGGATTTTAGTGCTGTGAACACATCCACTATGTGCCCCTCCCAAAGCATACCACCATTAAACATTAAGACTTTATGTACAATGGTCAGAAAGCCCAAAAACCCTAATTAATGCAAAACATCCAGACAACTGTTTCTGTCACTTGTAGCGCGCCAGTACATCCCGAGCCTGGTCGGTGATATACTGTAATTATAATAATAGGATAACCCAAAGAATAATGAGAAAGGAGGAATAGTAAACCAAATAGGATGTAATAAAGATCAAAGGAATCAGGATAATTAGAAGAATGAGATGAGGAAAAGGATGGAAATGAGAAAGAAGTGTAACGGGGTCGTACTATCGCACCACTAGACGAAGTCTGTCTTACTCACGATTTGTACCAGCAGGAGTTGGCGCGTCTGCAAGCTGAAACGACCCAAGCTGAATCTGACATATATGCACTTCGGAGCCGATTACCGCAGACACGACACGACACGATCGAACCAACGACAAATCAAGGACACCAGGAGCAAGGAACCCAGCAGCATTCCTAAATACGTGCTGACAATCGGCGACCACATGCGGCTTCGCATGAGGGTTTGATGAACAATCCGCCACCAGCTATTGGACGAGCGGATGGCGAATGGACGAACGTGAATCTGCCGCCCCCACCTCTCCAAACGGCCTGCAAACTGCCAACATCAACATGGCGTCGGGAATTCTCAAGACGAAGAGGCCACCCACGTTCGACGCGTGCCAGCGGGACAGTTTGTCCGTCAGCGGGTGGATTTTTCATCTGAACGTTTTTTGCTACTGCAACCTCGCCAAAAATCCGATACGCCATGTCGCTCAAACATGGACCGGCTATGGATTGGTGGCAGCATATAATTTAGTTGCAGGATCCGGATACGACGTCGTGCATGATCGGGTGTTTTTGCACGACCAGTTACTGGGCGGGAAGTTATTTGCGAGGTGGATGCGTACAGTACGTGGCAATTATGGTGCGCGCGAATTCGTCACCGCTTTCAACACATCAACGCAAGCAGCCATGCTCGCGACCACCTTCGCATATGGCGCCAACTCCAATCGGTCCAGGACTACACCAACAGCTTCAAGAATTTATGCGACCAGGTCAGCTACATTCACCCTGATGAAAAGTTCGACTGATACATTGGGGGACTTCGACCGAATTTGTGCAGAGAAATACAGGTCATGGAAATTACGGATTTGATGTAAGCACAGAGAGTTGCGGAGCGGTTGGATTCGTTATTCAAGCCAAGGGTGGGTTCCTATGACGGAAGTCGCACTCGGGGACCAATCGAGTGTGCCACTGTACACGCGGTTACAACATCGAACTTAGCAATTACATCATTTAAGGTTCGTTGTTTCGGGTGTAACAGGCCAAGACACCGTAAGTCACAATGCCCAGAGGAGCGGAACCAAATCCCTATATGCACATATGCACCTATATCCGGGTGTTTACGCATGCTGCTTTTTGATCCGCATGGTGCTTATGCTGCTTTAGATTACCTACTAGAGAAAAAATTCATCCGTCTGAGCTCCTCGCCATTTGCCGCCCCCATACTGTTCACCTCGAAGAAAGATGGCGAGTACTGAATGTGCACTGACTACAGAGCACTGAACATGGTGAATATCAAGTCACGTTACCCTATCCCGCGCGTCGACGAACTGATCGACCAGCTTCGCAAAGCTCGATTCTTCTCCAAGATACATTTACGAGGGGATTACCATCAGATTCTCATACTCGTAGGTGACTGTCACATGACTACATTTCGTACTAGGTACGGGAGTTTCGAGTATGTAGTTATGCCCTTCGGTCTGACGAGCGCCTCGGCAACTTTTCAGATGACCATGAACCAGATCTTCAATTCGGTCATAGATAAGTGTGTTATACTCTATCTAGACAATATACTGATCTACAGCGAGATGCAAGAGCAGCACTTAAAGGACCTCGAAGCAGTTTTCACACTGCTGCAGGAGCTTCAACTGCTCACGAAGAGTGTCACAGGTCTAGGATTTAGCGGAAGCTTGAATGATACTAATCGAGAATTCAATGTGTGAATACAAGCAAAGAGGCAATGCTATTTATACCTACGAGAACTCTAGGGAAGAGTAACTAGGACCTTCTAGAAATGAGTGGAACCGTCCGTAGGAGCACCACCTAGAAGCACGGTAAGGATTTTAGAGATACGGTGACGGTGACGGAACACTCCATGAAATAGAAAACTTGTCACGCAAGGAAAGTCCAAACACTCCGTAACACATATGATATATGTAAAATATATCAATGCGTAGGAAAGAGTGTAGGGATTTTGAGAAAATGAAAATGAAAAAAAAACACGAATAAATAGCAAATAGCAAATGGTTGTGATCAAGGATTCGGCAAGCCTTCCCCCCCTCAAAACTGGGTAGACACTGAAAGCGCCCAGTTTTTCAGCAAGCACTGAGGGCTGTGAGGCTCAAAGAAGTAAGAGAAAATCAAGCCAACAAAGGTGTGCTTGAACAACAACTCCTTTGTACTTGATTCCACACACTCGTGAGCCTGTACGAGTGCAGGTAACAGGTATCCCATGCTGAAATATTGGGACGCGTGATGCTCCAACTTAGGGTGCAGAGTAGCATAGCAAATGGTGATAAATTCATGCCTGATTTGCGGTCTATAGAATTCACCTGAAAAATAGCATGCTGCAGCGATGATAACTGCTTAATTAGGTCAAGAAACCACCAAGTGTTTGAGGTTGGCGTAGAAGTCGTATACTGGTCCGTGTACTGTAGTAACGTTGTAACTGCTGCGTGTCGTTGCAAAGACATTTGTTCCCAAGTGATTGTAGTAGGACTATGTCACCATGCTCATCTGTGGATCATCAATCCATGGTCGTGGTCAAGGAGATATGGGACTTTCTATGTTCAACCCATTTGACTCCTCTTCCATTTCTAGTAGGTTGTTGGTGACGATGTCGGTGACTCCAGTATGCTTCATACATGTCCAGTTTAGCACGGATTCCATCAATTGGCCTCGGTGTGTAGATGCACGTACAGATGTAGGTCCACTGGGTCATCAAGTGTCCTCTATGGTAACAGCTTAGATGACGTTGATGTCATTTCAGCTACTCAGCATCGATCTTGAATCTGCTCCGGTTCTGCTTGAGGGGTGCCATTGGAGTAACGTGGATTCCTCTATTCATAGTGGCCTCGGCGCTCCAGATCATGCCTATCATCTTTCGTGGAGGTGATGCTGGTGATAGATTTGTTGGTGACGTAGGTTTGATGACTCGATTGAAGTCATGGGGCCATGAGGACTCGAATATCATCGTTGTCCTCCCATCCTCATAAGAGTCTCGTTCTCTGAGCTCCTGAGGGGATGTGGGATAGCCACGTTGGCCCAGGGCGTAGTGGCATCTCCATCCCACTAGCTGGAAATCATAGATGTAGTGCCAGACTGGGTCTTGAAATCATGTTGGAATAAGATCCAGTGTCATCTCCATGGTTTGGAGGAATATCCATGGGTTGAAGAATCCATCCGCTCTCTCTTTTGTGTAGAGTCTTCCTGATGGGTGTAACAGTTGTAACTACCAGGGAACACGTGTATCTTGATGCACAGGTGTCACTTCATTGCTGTCGGTGATTGGGTCGCTCGAGGGTATGAAGATAACTTGCTTCTCCCCTCCACGGGTAGCAACTCCCTGGTATGCTCATTTGTTCTCCCGATGTACGGTCGGTAGAGCGCGTAATTGTCTAAGTGCGAGTTTTTAGAAGACCGCTTAGAATTTCTGGGACAAGTTATTTTCTCGAAGTGGACCCGCGCAAGATTGAGACAGTGCAAGCCTGGCTACCGCCTAAGAACATGTAGGAGCTGCAAAGTTTTTTTGGGTTCGTCAACTATGTTCGGAGATTTATCCCAAATATGGCGGGGGTAACAGCACCGTTAACTGACCTACTGCGGAAAGGGACTGAGTATACTGTAGGTGGGGGGGGGGGGGGGAGAGCAAGCTGCCTTCTCTACACTCAAAACTTTTCTCTGCTCAGCCCCTGTCCTTCGCATCGCCGATCCTCACCGTCCATTCGAAGTACTCACAAATGCAAGCGACATCGCCATCGGAGCAGTACTGTTACAGGACTTTGGCGAAGGCTTACAGCCAATCGCGTACGAGTCACGAAAGCTGCACCCGCCCCAACAAAACTATCAGATACTTGACAAGGAGATGCTCGCGATCGTGCACGTTTTCAAAGTGTGGCGGTGCTACCTGACAGGTGCGGACGTGACAGTATGGACAGACCACCAAAGCCTACAGTACATCCGCACACAGCCACTACTCAACCCACGATAGAATTGGTGGTTGGAATTAATGGAGTCCAACTTTCATTGTACGGTCACCTACAAGAAAGGGGCATCAAATATTGCAGATCCCCTTTCTCGCCCTTCCGCCCATCTCAACTCCATAATCCTTGCCCAAACTTCCCCTCTATTAACAGACCTATTTACCCACGGGTACCAGATGGACAGATTCTTTACGTCGGGTGCATACGAACAACTCGCAACGGCCAATGGAGTCTATTATGTAAACACAAGGACTGACCGCATCTCGGTACCAGAGTACAGTTTATTACGGGAGTTATTTTTACAGGATGCTCACGACACTACCATTTCGGGGCACTTCAGAGTGGAGAAAACACGGCAACAGTTGACCAGATATTATTTCTGGCCCGACATGCAAGGGGACGTACAGCGGCACGAGATTTCGTGCAGAACCTGCCATATTATGAAATCATCGTAGCAGAAGCCAGCTGGAAAGTTACAGCCGATTCCGCCATTTGAGTGTGCGTGGCAGCAGGTGACTATGGACTTTGTTACAGGACTGTCTGCCACGGACGGCTGCAATGACGCGATATTTGTCATCATCGATAAGCTGATGAAGATGGCTCACTTTGCCGCCTGCAAGAAAAGCATTTCTGGCGAAGAAACAACCCGCCTTTTCATCTCGACCGACGTTCGCCTCTACAGGATCCCATCCGCCATCACTTCGGATTGTGATACTGCACAAACTTCACCAGCAATTTCTGGCGCAACCTCTAGGAACAGTTTTGCACGCGCTTGCAGTTCTCCTCCGCCTACCACCCCGAGACTGACGGACAGACCGAACGGGCCAATCAAACAATGGAACAGCTGATTTGCACCACCTGCGATGACGTGGCCGACTGGGAGCAGCAACTGCCACTGATTGAGTTCGCTTACAATAATGCCCTGTCAGCTACCACACAACAGTCACCATTTTATCTAAACTACGGCAAGAACTCTACAGTACCGATCACGCCCAACATCGAAAACCCTGTACCTCGGCCCAACAGTTCACCAAAATATTAATGAATGCCCGGGAATGAGCAGCCGAAGCCATTAAGCGTGCGAATGTTATTTCTAAATGCAACGCCGATCTACACCGACGAGCAGTAACTTATCAGGCTGAAGATTTTGTACTGTTCGATACCCAGAACCTTCGATTGCCCATCGTCTCGAAACTCCGCCCCCGCTCTTGTGGACCATTCATCATCAGCCACATGATATCTTCCGTTATAGCCCATCCACTGTTACAAGCCACCTGGAACGTCAGCCCATCATTCCACGTGCGGTTACTTCGACCATACATCACCAACAGCAGTAAGCTACCAGGTCACCAGGCCTGACATTTCAAAAAAAGGCACTCTGAGCCAACCCCCCCGAAAAAGAAGAAGAAGAAGAAGAAGAAGAAGAAGAAGAAGAAGAAGAAGAAGAAGAAGAAGAAGAAGAAGAAGAAGAAGAAGAAGAAGAAGAAGAAGAAGAAGAAGAAGAAGAAGAAGAAGAAGAAGAAGAAGAAGAAGAAGAAGAAGAAGAAGAAGAAGAAGAAGAAGAAGAAGAAGAAGAAGAAGAAGAAGAAGAAGAAGAAGAAGTCTGAAAGGCCTTTAGCCAAAAATTTGGTAGTCTGAAATGTCAGAGTCCATAAGTCAGCTAGTCCGATTTTCTCAGGGTCCAGCGAGTACAACCAGAGTAAAAAAAATAGAGACATAAATTTGCGAAACTTTTAGTGTGCGTCCCCTACATGACACAATGCCATGCAAATTCGGGTCAAAGTTGTATTGACGGCAGGCCCCACGATTGGTTTTAGGGTACCCCACGTCATGTTCAAGAATCCTTACGCTGATTTATCAGTGTTGCGTAGCCAAAGTTTGCTTTTCCATCAGGGTCGTGTATGGAAGAAACGCTGATTTAGCAAACAAGCTGTGAAAGTTTTGAGCTGCATTCGAACCCTCCCGTGTCACTGCTAGGTGCGGACTGACTCTTATTCGAATGCAGCTAAAACCAGGCTCGACGTAAATTGTCGTATGGGTTGCGTATGTCCACATTTTTTTTTCACATTGGAAATTAGTATTTTCCCCGCACCTTTTTGTTTTCATTGGGACTATCAAGTAGAAATTTTATGATTCACATACTACAAGATAAGTGATTTGGAAAAATGGATTTTTTAACATGTAACCTTCATAAAAGCAAGAATGCTTCAAGGTTTTGTATAAAAGAAGTGTTTTATTGCTGTATTGGAGTTAGTAGCCGTGCTGACCTGTAATTGGGGCAGAGCGAATACACCCTTGCTAGGGTTTGTTTGTGCTTCTTGTTTTTTCTCATCCTTCCCTCGTCCTTCCCTCTTGCTGCACCTAGTTCTTGCTCTCCTTTTGTGCCTTGTTCTTGCTCGATTATTCCTCACCTAGTCCTTGCTCACACCTAGTCCGCCTAGTCCTTGCTCACACTTAGTTCCTTGCTCATGCCTTGTCCTAGCTCAGAACTAGCTCTTTTCCCCAACCATGCCTAACTGCCACCTGGGCCGCCATGCCATTTGCCGCCTGGTTGCATGTTGCTGGCGCGGAGCCCGTAACCCGTTTCGTGCTGGTGCCTGGCGCGCTGGCGCGTTTCGTGCTGGCGCCAGTGGAGCGCTCGCGCTGGCGCCTTGTGCGCTGGTGCCTTGTGCGCTGGTGCTTTTTGCACTGGCACCTGGCACGCTGGCGCGTTCCATGCTGGCGCTTGGCGCACTGGCGCTTTCCGCGCTAGCGCTTTTCGCGCTGACGCCAGGCACGCTGGTACCTTGCGCACTGGCGCGTTTCACGCTGGCAACATGTTTATGGGGCCGTGTGCACGTGTGGCGCCGTCTTAGTCGTCGTGGCATCTACTTGTTGACGGTAGGCAGAAAGGAGAGGAGGAAGTGGGAGGATGGAGAAGGAAGGGTACGTGCGACGGAACTGCAGGTGAGCAAGGATACCACCAACTGCAGGTGAGAGTTGCTACAGCTAGGCGCATCTCTCCCCTTGCTGCTGGCGCGCTTGCCGCTGCCACCCTTGCCGCTGCCGCCCTTGCCGCTGCCGCCCTTGCCGCTGCTGCCCTTGCCGCTGCCGCCCTTGCCGCTGCTGCGCTTGCCGCTGCCGCGCTTGCCGCTGCCGCGCTTGCTGCTGGCGCCCTTGCCGCTGGCGCCCTTGCCGCTGGCGCCCTTGCCACTGGCGCACTTGCTGTTGGCGCACTGGGGTTGGAGAAGTGTGTTGGTTGATAATGAGTTCCACATGTCTAGCTTTTTGTTGTGCCTGCTACTCTTAATCTCTGTGTGCATGGTGAGTGTGGATGCATATGTGAATGTGATGTGGCGTGGGTTGTGTCTGCTTCGAGCGAGCTGCTTATATGCTTGTTGTTGCAGTTAGAGATTGTCATCATGCCGGGGGCAGTTCCGCTTTCATCTTGCACCCCATCAATCCCTACTGCAGCATTGATGCATATATGCAATCGTTCGTGTTGTGGCACTCACAATCCCATCGTACATGCTGGTTCGTCCCGTCCGCCGTATTTATCAATAAGATGAGGTGGCTGGCACGAGGCATCTTTGGATTGTGTCTCCCTTGGGCGTGCTGCTTCTAGGCTAGGTGTTGCAGATAAAGATTGTCATCGTGCCTGGGGCAGCTTCGCACCCCATCAATCTCTGCTGCAATACTAATGCCTAGTATATGCACTCATTTCGTGGCATTTGCAATCCTATGTGTTGTTAAATTATATCGGAACATAAGTTGAAATATGTCATGCGGTCCGACTGTTTCATCTGCCGTACTTATCGGCGCAATGGAGGAGTTTGGAATACATTTTGATTCACATTTTGGAGTTGCACTGAACAGTTAACCAAACTGAAATACTATTCATATCAGTGCTCCAAAATGTGAAACCAATTTTATAGGGCTACTACGTAACCCAAAAATGCTCCCCGCAACCTAGCGTTTTTTTAAAGGGCTTGGATCAGTTTATGTTTCGTTGCTGGCTACGTACTCCTTAATTGCAAGGGTACTGACGACGATGCCTTAGCATGACTATGTTTTTGCGCCTAGACGGGGAGAGATGTACCAACTAATTTCTAATGACAGTCGTCCCCTTTAGGGAAGTTCTCGTCAGTTGCCCGCTTGGTCAACTGAAAGTCCATCAAAATTCGACGGCCTCGATCGATTGCGATCGTTTCGACATGTTTTGACCGTTCGATGGTCGTTAATGCTTCACGTCCAAGATCTTCCAACCGGGGTGCTGCAAAGGCGCGAAGTTTCTCCCACCGCTCTATTCGCCCAGCTTGCCCCCTCTCCCCAGTTTCAATCCCCCCCTCCCCCTCCATTTTCGATCCCCCCCTCCCCCTCCGTTTCGCTTCCCCCCTTCCATCCATTTCCATCTCCCCCCTTCCCCTCCATTTTGCTTCCCCCCTCCCCTCAGGGAAGGTTTGTCTACATGCCCAGCTCACCCTCATATCGCTTGTCGTGATTCACAGGCAGCCCCCTTGCATGTGCCGCCCAAGGCGACCAAGGCAGCAACCAAGACTCGTCCTTTTTGAAATTTCCTAAAGCTGGATACTGTAGCTGGTTTCAGAATTTTCAGCTGGGCTTGGGTTGCGGAGGGTGGGAAGACATATCTTAGCTATCGTGGGGGGTATGTGGGGGGGGGGGGGATATATGTCTTATATATGTGTTTATGACTTAGTCAAAAGTTTGGGTTGTTTGGGGCCGGGGTGTTAGGGAGACTGTGTCTAATAACTAGGGCTGATTTTATCAGACTATTTTAGTCTGACTGCCTGAAATTTCATACCAATTTTTCAGCCGATCCTGATTTTTCAGACTTGCCAATTTCTGAATACTGAATCCTTCAGAGTTATATGATTTTGAATACTGAGAATCTCAGACTTTGCACTTAGCGGATACTGAGTTTTCAGAGCGCAGCGCGTACGGACCCTGAGAGACATACCGGTACTACACCTACTTGCCCTCACCCAAAATTTTCGTGTAAGTCCCCAACGGCCAGAGTCAAGTCCTTTCACACACCCCGCAACCTATTAAATCCAGCTAAGCAGCCAGAGACAGTCCCGAAGCACGCCCAGCAGCCCAAAAAATATGTTGAAGTCCTGTTCTAGAGACACCCCCCTCACACCCCCAACACCGACAAAAATCGGCGAAGTCTTCCATTTCTAAAGACACTCTTCCCACACCCCTTTCTCCTGATTTTTTTCGTCAATTTATCTGAAAGGCTCACACAAGTCCCTCAACAACCAATCACACACTACCAAGACCCATCACAAACAGGCTCCCCGCCGCTGTACACGCATTGACTTTTGACGTGCTTTCCAGTACGCCTTTTCCACCTTTTTGTCCGGAGCTACGCTGTAAAAAATCACCGTTAATGTAGAAAATGCAGTTCCGCACGGGCACTACCTATCACCTACTTTACTGTCCCGTTATGTGGGTCAATTTTGTGAGCATGACTGACCCTTGAACTGCGGTCCACGTGCCGGTATGCTGTCGAGAGAACAAAGCCAGCTCAGCATATACAGCATAATGTCATATTTGCCCCACATAAACTGGTTCCACGCTTTAGGCTGCCAAAAAATAAAAAAATGGACTGAATGAAAGGTAAAAGAGGTGTACAACGTCAGCCTTGCGAATCGCCGCAACAAGCTCTGCCTCGCAAGCACGTCGCAAGACGGGCGCTAACACCCCATGCGGTAAGGAACTTTATTCGATAGAATGAACCAGCCCCTACGAAGTTTCGCACTATCATCATCATACTTGCACACTCGGGTGTGGAGAACGTGAACAGGTGTTGGGGTCCCACCCCACCTAGAGCTGTATCAGATTTCAAAAGAAGCCGTGAGGGTATAGGCTCCATCACTCTAGTCGCTTATGTGAAATCATGCCTTATGGCCCCGATGTTTCGCCAGCTAGGAAACAACGAGCTCTCGACCAAGTTGCTGGTAAACTCTAAAAATACAAGACTTTACTTGGCCGCGTGGACTCTGAATCGACATTTTGAACCGTGAGTGTTTCAGACTAGTTTAGTTTTGGACACTGAGATTTCAGAGTAGCGAAAAAATGAAAAATACCCTTCAGACTCAGGATAAATTTTGGGGGATAAAATGAGAGTGCCTTTTTTTTATACGTCAGCCCGGTTGATAACCCCACTTAGCCGAAATTCTCGATATGTTGTGGGGTATATGGGGGATTTCTCCAGCGTTCGGGGACTTAGCCAAAATTTTGATGGGTTGTGTTGTGGGCGATGTCTCTAGCGTTTGGGGACTTGGCAGAAATTTTCGATGGGTTGTGGGGTGTACGGGGGATGTCTCTAGCGTTCGACGACTTAGCCGAAAATTTCTAGGTCGCAGGTTGGTAGTACAGTAGATACATCTGTTTTCAGGATCTGTCCGCGCTGTGCTCTGGAAACTCAGTACTGGGTTCGCCACAAGTCTGATTATTTCAGGATTCCTAAAATCGTACTCTGAAGTGATCAGGATTGGGAAAATGGGCAATCTGGAAACTCAGGTTTGGCCAAAAATAGGGTCTGAAATTTCAGACTCATTAGACTAAGTGGTCCGATAAAATTAGCCCTGCACGTCACCGAGCGAATCTGAACATTCGACCGCTTGCCGAGCCTACTATCGGACCCACGAGTGCT